ACTTGATAATACTATATCAACAGACCCTACAGTACTACACAGACATACATTACAGTAACATATACACATGCAAAAATAGATTTGTTAATACAATTTCATTTATTTGCTATTGCATTTTCATACTGAAGTATTGCACTGGATCTTATTTTGAAACATATACGAAACTTTCTTCCATTGCTGGAATGACACAGTGTGGGCATGGATTCTTCCATGTTGTGGCTCATGATATTTTAGTCTAATTATGAACAGCATGTTTGTATAACATATATTTAAGTCACCATTAATTTGTCTCAATTGCTGTTCAAGTATCTGTGTAAAATTCTACATTAAAGATTTAGACACAACTGAAAACTATGCTACATTAACATACACAGTAAACATACTGTATATAGAAAATACTGATTATATATATTGTGTATACTATTAACTAAACTATGCATATCTTTTACTGTACATACATACCAGTGGCGGCAACATCTTTTCCCCAACAGATGGCTCAGTGTTCCCCAACAAATGGACCGCAACCACCACAGCCCCACGATGGTTAGAGCTCAGGTAAAACATTTTAGGTTTGTCACCTCTGATGCCCGAAAATGGCATTCTCGATCGGACCAGCTTTCTCTAGTTTAGAAAATTATTATAATTGATCGCTGATAGATTTTACCGCAACTCCCTGATGGCTGGGCCAGGCCCTGACCAAGCTAGCCCAACCACTGGCACTACCCCTGACACAGCAGAAGTGCTAGCAAGTCCTGGTTGGTGCACATTTTTTCACTCTTTTAGATGTCTCCCCAAGGCTTGCAATTCATATACTTAAAGCATTGCCACAAACGAATAGAGCTTGTCTCTTTACATATATCTCATATACTTTTTATATATGCAGTTAGAAATATTTTTATAAATCACTTTAAATTTAACTAATATTTAAGTACTGAAATAATTTTTATGATTTTTTCTTATATATTTGAAATAAATTCTCCATGTACATAGACAGACAGGTTCATATTTTTTATACTGATCTGGTAAAGCTTCATGATCCCAACTAGATATTACCACCTGGTATTCTAATTAAATGTTCATTTTCAGCAACCACATTTTGAATGATCTTTCAACATCGAAGGTCTTGTACTCATAAAGAAATTTCAAGCATTATAACTGAACCTATTAAAAGAGAGCACAATTTCAACATTAGTCATCATATTGTATTAAGTGAATTGAGGCAGTTTATTGCAACATGCACGATATGTTTCATTATTATTTTTATTATAATTATTATTATTATTATTATTATTTATTTATTATTATTATTATTACTGTTATAATAATAATAATAATAATAATAATAATAATAATAATAATAATAATAATAATAACTATTATTATTATTATTATTATTATTATATTCAGCACAATGAGTAGGAACATACCTCTTGGCCAATTGCTCAGCTCATTAGTATGTATTTATTTTTCATTATTTCCAACCTACCTCCTCGTTTAGCTCTGGAAAGAGTTCCAAGATAACCGTGTCAAGGAGAACATAGGACAATTGTTTGTTTAGTTT